ACATGCATTTATCTCAAAGAAAGATTTAAAGCATACACAGCATCCATTTAGTTAATATTTACCCACAAACTAATGCAAAAAAAGTCTATTTACATTTTCAAATGTATAGCCATGTAGCACAGCGTACATGAAAGACGTCTAGCCCTGCCCTTGGCTTTCAAATATGTAAGAGATTGGCGTTTCTAGATGAGATTTACTCGTGCCAGCAAAGACAGGTGCCTCTGACCATGAGGCGGCAGTAAGAGCCGGTGCCGTCGGGCCGGCCCCACATCACGGCAAGTCAACTCCGTGCCCAGGGGTCCAACAGCTCGTCTTTAGAAGTAGATTGCCAGGCCTCTCTTCCGAGCCACCTCGGGGTGGGTAACAACTTCCAAGGGATTGATTAGCAAACACTTAACCATTTGCACCGCTCAGGGACTCCTGGGCCCCCATCTAACAACTTTTGAAGATAGCAAACACGTGGGATGCCAGCATCTTTTTTCACACACAGAGGACTTCACGAAGAATCTCGTGATGCTAGGAGAAATTGGTTCAATTTTTTTAAAAAAAGTCATTCCTAAAGGTTAAGAAGAAGAAGCTGAAGATACTTTTGGTCGGTGAGAAACCTTTAGAATAAAATTTGCCCCAGGATAGGAATTCTTAATTTGTGAAGGGCGCTGAAACGCTGGAGTTGGTTTGTGTTTGTGTTTGTGTTCTCATTGCGGATTTGGCCGCAAGGTTTGAAGCCAGGGCATCTTGGTATCAGTTATCGCTGCCGGCTTGTTAAAGGGCAGACGTGATGGAGCTGCAGCCCAGAGCCCCTGCGGGATGGCTGAACCCCACTCGCGCCCTCCTTGGGACTTGCTGAATCCAGCCGGCCCGGCAGGTGGGCCGGGGAAATGAGCTAGTCTTGACGCACCCTCTGCTGGCTTGCCCGAACGCTGCAGCCACCCGTGGCCAGGGGCAAACCGTCTCGAAGTTCTTCATTAAAAGCTTCAATCAAAATAATGCTCCATCAATAGATTTAGTGGTGATGTTTGTTCACTGCGGACTTGTAAGAAAGCCGTTGACCGCTTCCTGAGGTGGGAGGGTAGTGTCTGTTCGCACGGAAAGCAGCCCCGGGTCTTTACTGGAGTGGTGGGCCCTGGCACGGGCCCTGCTCTGCAGCACAACGGTCTGCTCTCCAGTGTTCGTTTGGGACGGGGACGCGCCCAGATTGCTACTCTCAACCCAGAGCTTTTAAAAATAGTATACTTTACAGCTGTTTTAATACGTAGGGAGGAGAATTACTATTTTGCATCTTCTTCTTTCTTCTTCTTCTTCTTCTTCTTCT